ATCAAAAAACAACAGCCAACGTTTTGCCCTTAATTGTTGGGCATTCTCAAGACTAGTTTTTTAAGTCAAAGTTGGTTTTTTGATAAACGAAATACCTTTAACCCCTGTTGGCTTTGATTTATTCATCGATTTGGTATTAGGGGAAGAATATAGAGTAATCTTACAAATAACTATATAAAAGCCAACAAGGGTTAAAGGTTTTATAATTATCAAAAAACAACAGCCAACGTTTTGCCCTTAATTGTTGGGCATTCTCAAGACTAGTTTTTTAAGTCAAAGTTGGTTTTTTGATAAACGAAATACCTTTAACCCCTGTTGGCTTTGATTTATTCATCGATTTGGTATTAGGGGAAGAATATAGAGTAATCTTACAAATAACTATATAAAAGCCAACAAGGGTTAAAGGTTTTATAATTATCAAAAAACAACAGCCAACGTTTTGCCCTTAATTGTTGGGCATTCTCAAGACTAGTTTTTTAAGTCAAAGTTGGTTTTTTGATAAACGAAATACCTTTAACCCCTGTTGGCTTTGATTTATTCATCGATTTGGTATTAGGGGAAGAATATAGAGTAATCTTACAAATAACTATATAAAAGCCAACAAGGGTTAAAGGTTTTATAATTATCAAAAAACAACAGCCAACGTTTTGCCCTTAATTGTTGGGCATTCTCAAGACTAGTTTTTTAAGTCAAAGTTGGTTTTTTGATAAACGAAATACCTTTAACCCCTGTTGGCTTTGATTTATTCATCGATTTGGTATTAGGGGAAGAATATAGAGTAATCTTACAAATAACTATATAAAAGCCAACAAGGGTTAAAGGTTTTATAATTATCAAAAAACAACAGCCAACGTTTTGCCCTTAATTGTTGGGCATTCTCAAGACTAGTTTTTTAAGTCAAAGTTGGTTTTTTGATAAACGAAATACCTTTAACCCCTGTTGGCTTTGATTTATTCATCGATTTGGTATTAGGGGAAGAATATAGAGTAATCTTACAAATAACTATATAAAAGCCAACAAGGGTTAAAGGTTTTATAATTATCAAAAAACAACAGCCAACGTTTTGCCCTTAATTGTTGGGCATTCTCAAGACTAGTTTTTTAAGTCAAAGTTGGTTTTTTGATAAACGAAATACCTTTAACCCCTGTTGGCTTTGATTTATTCATCGATTTGGTATTAGGGGAAGAATATAGAGTAATCTTACAAATAACTATATAAAAGCCAACAAGGGTTAAAGGTTTTATAATTATCAAAAAACAACAGCCAACGTTTTGCCCTTAATTGTTGGGCATTCTCAAGACTAGTTTTTTAAGTCAAAGTTGGTTTTTTGATAAACGAAATACCTTTAACCCCTGTTGGCTTTGATTTATTCATCGATTTGGTATTAGGGGAAGAATATAGAGTAATCTTACAAATAACTATATAAAAGCCAACAAGGGTTAAAGGTTTTATAATTATCAAAAAACAACAGCCAACGTTTTGCCCTTAATTGTTGGGCATTCTCAAGACTAGTTTTTTAAGTCAAAGTTGGTTTTTTGATAAACGAAATACCTTTAACCCCTGTTGGCTTTGATTTATTCATCGATTTGGTATTAGGGGAAGAATATAGAGTAATCTTACAAATAACTATATAAAAGCCAACAAGGGTTAAAGGTTTTATAATTATCAAAAAACAACAGCCAACGTTTTGCCCTTAATTGTTGGGCATTCTCAAGACTAGTTTTTTAAGTCAAAGTTGGTTTTTTGATAAACGAAATACCTTTAACCCCTGTTGGCTTTGATTTATTCATCGATTTGGTATTAGGGGAAGAATATAGAGTAATCTTACAAATAACTATATAAAAGCCAACAAGGGTTAAAGGTTTTATAATTATCAAAAAACAACAGCCAACGTTTTGCCCTTAATTGTTGGGCATTCTCAAGACTAGTTTTTTAAGTCAAAGTTGGTTTTTTGATAAACGAAATACCTTTAACCCCTGTTGGCTTTGATTTATTCATCGATTTGGTATTAGGGGAAGAATATAGAGTAATCTTACAAATAACTATATAAAAGCCAACAAGGGTTAAAGGTTTTATAATTATCAAAAAACAACAGCCAACGTTTTGCCCTTAATTGTTGGGCATTCTCAAGACTAGTTTTTTAAGTCAAAGTTGGTTTTTTGATAAACGAAATACCTTTAACCCCTGTTGGCTTTGATTTATTCATCGATTTGGTATTAGGGGAAGAATATAGAGTAATCTTACAAATAACTATATAAAAGCCAACAAGGGTTAAAGGTTTTATAATTATCAAAAAACAACAGCCAACGTTTTGCCCTTAATTGTTGGGCATTCTCAAGACTAGTTTTTTAAGTCAAAGTTGGTTTTTTGATAAACGAAATACCTTTAACCCCTGTTGGCTTTGATTTATTCATCGATTTGGTATTAGGGGAAGAATATAGAGTAATCTTACAAATAACTATATAAAAGCCAACAAGGGTTAAAGGTTTTATAATTATCAAAAAACAACAGCCAACGTTTTGCCCTTAATTGTTGGGCATTCTCAAGACTAGTTTTTTAAGTCAAAGTTGGTTTTTTGATAAACGAAATACCTTTAACCCCTGTTGGCTTTGATTTATTCATCGATTTGGTATTAGGGGAAGAATATAGAGTAATCTTACAAATAACTATATAAAAGCCAACAAGGGTTAAAGGTTTTATAATTATCAAAAAACAACAGCCAACGTTTTGCCCTTAATTGTTGGGCATTCTCAAGACTAGTTTTTTAAGTCAAAGTTGGTTTTTTGATAAACGAAATACCTTTAACCCCTGTTGGCTTTGATTTATTCATCGATTTGGTATTAGGGGAAGAATATAGAGTAATCTTACAAATAACTATATAAAAGCCAACAAGGGTTAAAGGTTTTATAATTATCAAAAAACAACAGCCAACGTTTTGCCCTTAATTGTTGGGCATTCTCAAGACTAGTTTTTTAAGTCAAAGTTGGTTTTTTGATAAACGAAATACCTTTAACCCCTGTTGGCTTTGATTTATTCATCGATTTGGTATTAGGGGAAGAATATAGAGTAATCTTACAAATAACTATATAAAAGCCAACAAGGGTTAAAGGTTTTATAATTATCAAAAAACAACAGCCAACGTTTTGCCCTTAATTGTTGGGCATTCTCAAGACTAGTTTTTTAAGTCAAAGTTGGTTTTTTGATAAACGAAATACCTTTAACCCCTGTTGGCTTTGATTTATTCATCGATTTGGTATTAGGGGAAGAATATAGAGTAATCTTACAAATAACTATATAAAAGCCAACAAGGGTTAAAGGTTTTATAATTATCAAAAAACAACAGCCAACGTTTTGCCCTTAATTGTTGGGCATTCTCAAGACTAGTTTTTTAAGTCAAAGTTGGTTTTTTGATAAACGAAATACCTTTAACCCCTGTTGGCTTTGATTTATTCATCGATTTGGTATTAGGGGAAGAATATAGAGTAATCTTACAAATAACTATATAAAAGCCAACAAGGGTTAAAGGTTTTATAATTATCAAAAAACAACAGCCAACGTTTTGCCCTTAATTGTTGGGCATTCTCAAGACTAGTTTTTTAAGTCAAAGTTGGTTTTTTGATAAACGAAATACCTTTAACCCCTGTTGGCTTTGATTTATTCATCGATTTGGTATTAGGGGAAGAATATAGAGTAATCTTACAAATAACTATATAAAAGCCAACAAGGGTTAAAGGTTTTATAATTATCAAAAAACAACAGCCAACGTTTTGCCCTTAATTGTTGGGCATTCTCAAGACTAGTTTTTTAAGTCAAAGTTGGTTTTTTGATAAACGAAATACCTTTAACCCCTGTTGGCTTTGATTTATTCATCGATTTGGTATTAGGGGAAGAATATAGAGTAATCTTACAAATAACTATATAAAAGCCAACAAGGGTTAAAGGTTTTATAATTATCAAAAAACAACAGCCAACGTTTTGCCCTTAATTGTTGGGCATTCTCAAGACTAGTTTTTTAAGTCAAAGTTGGTTTTTTGATAAACGAAATACCTTTAACCCCTGTTGGCTTTGATTTATTCATCGATTTGGTATTAGGGGAAGAATATAGAGTAATCTTACAAATAACTATATAAAAGCCAACAAGGGTTAAAGGTTTTATAATTATCAAAAAACAACAGCCAACGTTTTGCCCTTAATTGTTGGGCATTCTCAAGACTAGTTTTTTAAGTCAAAGTTGGTTTTTTGATAAACGAAATACCTTTAACCCCTGTTGGCTTTGATTTATTCATCGATTTGGTATTAGGGGAAGAATATAGAGTAATCTTACAAATAACTATATAAAAGCCAACAAGGGTTAAAGGTTTTATAATTATCAAAAAACAACAGCCAACGTTTTGCCCTTAATTGTTGGGCATTCTCAAGACTAGTTTTTTAAGTCAAAGTTGGTTTTTTGATAAACGAAATACCTTTAACCCCTGTTGGCTTTGATTTATTCATCGATTTGGTATTAGGGGAAGAATATAGAGTAATCTTACAAATAACTATATAAAAGCCAACAAGTGTTAAAGATTTTATAATTATCAAAAAACAACAGCCAACGTTTTGCCCTTAATTGTTGGGCATTCTCAAGACTAGTTTTTTAAGTGAAAGTTAGTTTTTTGATAAACAAAAGACCGTTAACCCCTGTTGGCTTTGATTTATCCCTTGATTTAATATTAGAGGAAGAATGGAGAATAAGAGTACAAATAACTATATGAAGGCAGGTACTTCAATTTTAATAACTTATACAGATTAGTAATTTTATTTATTGCTAAAGCGTATCTCGTAGATCGCCTCAAAAGTATAGGCGATTAAAGGAACACTCTTTCTAGATTTTTAAACTTGAAGGTCTTTCGAAAATGCGAAGTTTTTATAATGAAGAAGTTATTTCAAAAGAAAGAGATGTACAGATGATTTTATATTAGTAAATTAATAAGCATGACACAATCAAAGAAACAAACTACTTATCTTTTATTGCCATATTTTTTCAAAATAATATTGTATATCCATTTAAGGAAATACGTAACATTAGTAAATACGTCAGGGTCACCGATGGCACATGGACTTCCCCATGAAACTATCCCTACGATGTATCCGTTTATCACCATTGGCCCACCAGAATCTCCCTAAAAAGATTATAGGCTGCACATTTGAAAATTTTTTAAAATTCTTATTTCTTGAACGATTCCTGATGTTAATTTCGGAAGCTTTCGTTTTCTATGGTCTGCAGTAAATGTCTAACTACTGAAACTTTATACAAGGATTTTGGAGAGCTTTTCACTTACATGACATGTGCCCTGCTTAACTGGAGAATCTGTGCAAATCTGTTTGTTTGTTATGGCTATATTTTCCACGGTTAAAAGTTTCCGTTTTGCGCATCTTTCCAGAGATGTCAATTTAAGGCTAATGGAGAAAAGGTCTTGGTTTAATGTTCCCGAAACTCCATCAGTAGTGCCGTATCCTGTTATAGTTACAACGTCGTGAATTTTTAAACATATGTCATCATTAGGCAACCTTATCTTTGCCACATTCTTATCGAATACAAACGGATTATCAACCTATAAAGAACTGTTTTAATCTTTTGTATTCTGGTATGCAAAGGAAGAAAAAGTAGTGAAAGAGCGAATATAAAGATAGGAGACGAAAAATTAGTAGAAGTGGCTGATTTTAGGTATCTAGGAAGTCAGATAAGTCAGGACGGAAGGAGTAGTAGGGATATAAAGCAGAGGATAGCGCAGGGTCGAGTTGCCTTCAATAAAAAGAAGTCATTTCTATGCTCGTGAACGGTTAATTTAGAAATTCGGAAAAGGCTGCTAAAGGCGTATGTTTGGAGCACGGCGTTGTACGGGTGCGAAACATGGGCAGTGGGCGCGGCGGAAAAGAAAAGTTTAGAAGCGTTCGAAATGTGGTATTACAAGCGAATGTTGGTAGGATATCTTCTCAGGCATGAAAGTCTAGACAGAGACATATTAGAGCCAGAAGCGGAAGTTAGGAGAGGTAGAGGTAGACCTGGATAAGATTACTGTTCGCAAATAGTTAAGAATATGGGGTTGTTCTAGTTTTAGGGAAAGGAAAGAGTGGAGGTGCGTGTCCAACCAGTCTTAGGACTGACGACTTTATGATGATGTTGATGTATACTAGGTGTTAAAATTTAAAAATGATTAAGTTTTTAATACTGAAAGTGCTCAGAAAACGAATAGTTGGAGTCATGTCGAGACTGTAGGAGGTGTGTTATTGTACTAATGTAATGTATTTTGAAATTTCTCCAATATTTTTACGTATTAGTATCTATATGTTATTCCTAATTAATAAATTATTTATGCTACTGAATGTTTTCGACAAAATGAAAGAAAATATTGATAAAAATTAGATAGATAATTAAAAAAACAGTTGTACTCAGCTGCTTTTGAACTTGGTTACTTAATAATAACTTTATTAATTAAAAATTTGTAATAATTGAATTTGGTAATTAAAATTTATTCTAATTTGAACTTACCAATATAATAGCAATGTCGTAGTCACTCAAAGTATACTTTTCGTGTTGAAATATTTTAACGACGTTTCGACTTTGTCCGTCTTCGTCCAAGTTCGTTATTCCTGCTTTCACACGATATTCTTTAGCATCAAGACTGCTAAAATGTGTCTTTAATTATTTATTTATCTTTATGATTGCTTTTTCTTACAAAGCAATGTTTTATTTTTAAGCAAACGTTTCTAGTTTGGTACAAACAGAGATGTGCAAAATAGTTTTTGTAAGGTATTTAAATACAAAATGCAAATACTTTTTTGATTTGTTATTGTAAATCTAAAATATAAATGTTAAATGCAAAATACGTATTTTCAAAATACGTTTTTCAAATAAATACTTTTTTGTAGTACCTACATTTACTTCATCNTTTCTTCAGTTCAGCAACAAATAATTCTTCTATTCTTCCGTTTTAATTGTAAAAAAAATAGTTTGTTTACCGTGAATGATCAGAGCGAAAATAGGGTTGAAAATAATTTTATTGATGTAAAATCAACGTCAGTCATTTAATATCAAAATATTTACAAATCCATTTTGTTTCTGATCTTTTACTCATTGTAATAAGAGAAAGAAATGGAATGCATAGTTTCTTTAGCTTTGAGTTTATCTAATAAGTGAAGTTTTTCGAATCGTTTTCTATGAATTTTGGATTATAGCCATTTATTAGCACACCACAATATCTTGTATTTTTTAGTTTTACACAGCTGGTGTATATCAATTCCATTTTGTTTTGCTGGTTGCTTTGTCGTAATTCATAGAATTTCGTAGTTTCTTGCTAAAGGTAGGTACGATAAGTGGTGATTTGGCAGGTGTTGATATCAATTTGGAACTTAAAATTCCATGGACCATAACATTGAACCCAGAAAACAATATCGATCCAATATTTTAAATTATCCATTTCCAAGGAATTTAGAATTTTTTGGACTCTCTTCGGTTAATGAATTGGAATGTCCCTTTGTCCTACTAGTAAAACTTTTAACGACAAAAACCTATTTTACATTTTATAAACAGAAAATACGTTTGGAAATGTATTTTAAATAAAATACAAAATGTTTTTCTCAAAAAAGAATTTGAATGCAACATAATAATAGGTGTTTTTTATTTTGTATTTGCATTTTAAAAGCAAGTATTTCAAATAAATCACATTGTTTTTCCGTGATTTTATTATTTCTCTCTAAACGTTTTTTATTACCCTCTGTCTATCGATTATTTCCACAAAAATTCTTCAGCCTTCAATTTCCCTCGGCATTCTCAATTCGTGCACTTTCACGCACAATTTTTTTTAATGAGAAAATTTAATTCAAGAAGAAAAAAAGAAAAGAATGATGTAGATTAAAAAGATAATTAATAATGAACTTTTAAGTAGTTCAATTAACAATTTTCGATTAGTACTAAATTCATTATTCATTCATTAAAATAATTAATCTCTATTGAATTTTGAAGTCATTAATTTTATTTCTATTTGTAGGACTACCTACTAACGAAAGAGTAATTTCACATTTCAGAAACTGATCATCCTTGATTTTATTAGCAGTTTGTATTTACAATAAGGCGTAATTCGCTATTGTTTTAAGAAATCACTCATGTAATTACTTGGTTTGCTTTTATGTAGAACTATAGCAACTAACTGTAATTAAATTACTATATACTTACCACTTATGATACGTGCTTAAAATATAAAGATAAGAGGAATTTTGCGCCAATAAGACTAATCAGTTGTCAAGCTCTAAGAAAACAGAGGAAATCATGTGAAATGTATAATTTTTAACAATAGACATTTTAACGGAATTCAGATTTTTAAAATTTTACAAAATCATCTGATATACATCGTAACACTGTACAAGTCCATGATTCAAAACTTTACAGTTGTTTAAATTTTTGACGGTTTTTTAGATCCTTGGGGAGATTTTTAACTCTTTACTTACTATAAATTTATAAGCTCCTGTAAAACATACCATCAAAAAATGGTACATTCATTTGATGTTGCTTTACTACATAAAACCTATACAAGGTTAGGTTAGGTTATGTTATGTTAGGTTTTGTTAGGTTAGGTTAGGCTAGCATAGGTTGCGCTTGATTGAGTTGGGTTGGATTGTATTATGTTTGATCTATAAACTTACACCTTAGTGTTGTTTGTTTTAAGTACCTTTCAAAACAATGAGCAGCAGTGAGAACGAATTTGTCTTTTATGATTGCTCCTCCGCATATGAATTCTTCATTTTGAAAAATCGCCACCTGATAAGGGTATTTTTGGATATTAACTCTTTCTCCACCAATAATTCTGTTATCCGGTTCGTTACTGATATTAGTAATATTTCTATCCTGAAAATCTGCCTTGGTGATATGGTAGGCGATCCCAGTACCAGCCTTGAAACTGCGATCAAATGGAAAGTAGCGGAAATTGTGAATTTCTCGTTTGTTTTTTTGATCAATAATGGGAAATATTTTATGTATCATTGGTTTTGTGATCGTTAAATTTTCATTTCCATAATATATACTACTGATGTCCAACCAAAGTTTCGGCGGGCGATGTTCTGATTTTGTAAAAAAGAAGTGATTAATTTTGTTATGCGGATCATTCTTGTTTTGCCATAATTTTAGAAATTCCATTTGCAAATCTTTTGTAGCATTTCGCACTTCATATTTTGTATTTATGCGATTCAAACATACAGATTTGTCAATAGGCAATGTTGATTCATTTTTTTTATTCGAATATTTTTCAGTAGTTTCTTTTTTGTCTGAAAGTAAAAGAAAAAGCAATTGTAAAACGTAATAAATAATAGTAGCTTTTAACATACCCAATTGCTTTTGAATATCTACGTTTTTCAAAGAAGTTTCGCTTCTTTTGAAAATTGCATATAATTTGGTTAAGAATTGCAGTAAACTTTTTTCATTAGATGACGAGTATGTTCTTTTTCTCTGACATTTGTATAGTGCATTGAGTAACTGTATTTGCTGTTTAATAAAATAATAATCTTCTGGTGAAAATGAAATTTTCTCTGAAAATTGCCCAGTTACATAATCAGTAAATATAATTAGCTTATGTTTATATTTACCAGTTTTTTTCGAACTCTGACGATGATTAGGTGGTGACGATGAATCATAAAGTTGGGAATAATTTAACTTTTCTTTTGATTCACATTTTTGAAGCCATTTTTTTATCGTATCCTGTAAATATCGTTTTAATTCCGATAGCAAACATTCATTATTTTCTTCAGTTTCATAATTATTCAAAGTCATTGGTTTAGATAATTTCTTTCGGCTTTGATAATTGTTATAATGAGTACTCGTTGCTTCCTTAATTCTACCTTTTCCTTTGGAAATGTATGAATTCGGGATCGAAAATGATCTGATATCTTCGTAAATAGAAGTATCAGTAGTCATATCGTTACTATCAAACTTATTATCGTTAAAAAAAAATGAAAGCTCATTTTCCGAAGAGTCTTTGTTAATTTTTTTGTTGTTTTCTATATTCGGTTGGTGATACGGTACGGCATATGTACTATGGGCAGGAATTTCTTGAACTAATTTGTATGGTCTCTTGTAGCGATAACTTGATTCAAATTGTGGTTTGTTTTGGTGATCCAATGTCAGTTGCGGATTAGAATTAATAACTTCTTCGTAATTGTCAGCTGAGGATGTGAAGCTGCTGGTAAACGGGACGGTTTCTTTAAATTCAGTTAAATCTGTTTGGGGATTCTGATAAAGTATTTGTACCAATGCGATATCACCATTACTGAATATAGGAAATCCCAATTTTGAATTTAGAGAAATTACGTCATCTAAATAATAAATATTCGAATATTTTTGCGGATCATCATGATTAGTTAACCAATATTTAACTATTACTGGAGAATTTGGCGTTTGAGTAAATTGTCTTTGATGATCATTAAATAATGAAGATGAATAAGTTTGAGGAGCGCCTTCTAAACTTTGTAAAGAATTCAAATAGTTTTCGGGTGGATCGTATGTTCTGGGCCCCATTGGGATGTAATTTTCACTATTACTCTCACTGTCGTAGATTCTGTCTTTTGGTAAGAAGAAATAGATACAGTTAGATCTAACTGATCGATAGTTTGTTTTGTAAACATTTTTATTACCTTTAATATTAGATTCATCCCTTTTAGCGACATTTGCTAATGTATCAGGACTATTCGTCAGATAATTTCTATTACAAGGAATATGATTGTTACATGCTTCTGGAACTGCATAACTTTCATAATTTCTGATGTCTTGTACAGCTGAGAAATAATCAAAATCATCAGTTTTAGTTTCAGTTCGAAACGATGAAAATTTTGCCGATTTAATAAAACGTAGTTGAAATTTTTACAATTTTACACTATTATGACTGTGTCTTATTTTCTATTGTGTCTTATTTTGAATTTATTTAACCGTAATCATGTCTTTCACAGAATGTAAGTTCATTAATTTAAGATTTGATTGATTGTATAAGCAAAAACTTCATGCTGATACTCATAACAATACATCATAAATGACTTAAAAAAAGTTATGCATAACAATGAAAAGTTAAGTCTTTTGACGACTACATATTCATAATTTAAAGTACAGATGATTATTAAAATAATATACAAAAATCAGGACGGTGTGTCAATTTTTAAAACTGTTTACTTGTTTGAATCAGTTCAAAATGAGCATAATAATTATACCATCGAACTTCATTTAAATGTAGTACAAAACGGAATATAGAATACTGATAAGGTTAGCTTAGAGACCGTTCAAGATTTGCGTAACCCAGTTAGGGAGTGAAATGTAAAAAATAATACGTTACAAGGGTTGGGGGGCTAACCGATGATTTGCGTAACATCATATTTTTTGTTAAACATTTGCTTTTGAATTAATATTCTATACTCTACAGATAACCATAATGGTTAGTGATCACTAGGGTGTTACGTAACGTTGAAAAAGGGGAAACAGGGATAAAAGAAAACGTCACGTAGCGTTATAATGGAGAGGGTCAAAGGTTTTGACATTTGTAATTTTTAATAGTAGTTAATATGAAATATTAATGTGAAAATTCATTTCCAATTCTCTATCCACTACAAACTCGTAGCTTAGTGGTCAGAACATTGGTGCGTAAAGCCGAAAGTCCCGGGTTCGATTCCCGGCGGAGGTGTGACAACAGCAAGAAAAATTTTCCCTCATTAACTTAAGGTTAACATTAATAAGGACAAATGCCTTCTGCGATAGTTCATGTATAGTACTTGAATGGCCTCTTAGTTGTAAGGATAAAAGCTATTAAAAATTATGACCCATAGTTAATGACCACTTAAAAAATTGCTATTTCTTATTAGAAAACAACTGAAAAAGTCCAACTCAGTTCTTTTCTCTCAAGCTCTTGTACGGCAACTTCAGTGAATGGGGTTATTTTTTTTTGTAAATTGTCACCATTCTTAATACATACCGTAACTTACCGTTTGTGATGAAAAATGTCCAAAAAATGTGATAAATGATCTTCATTACCGTACAGTTTTCAGCTACGAATTACACATAAACTATTAAAATAATTTTATATACATGCACATGCTTTAACAACAATAGCACATAAGTGAATGAGTAAATATCGACTGCAACGCTAAGCCAGTAATACCTCCTACCGTATATTTGTTAATAACTACTGTCATCATTTACATTTGAACAATGCTCTAGTAAAATCTAATCAATTGATACCCGCAATTCTGTTTCTTGATAAATTACTTTCTTTCTTATTAAACTGAAGGTACCAAAATGTATTAAAGTTGCTGTGGGACATCAGTGAAAAAGCTTTTATAGTTAGAAATTAGCTCGGTGCACTTTCAACCCCAATGCAATTTAAGAACGTTGTTTTAATTTCTTGATAAATTAATTTCTCCCTTATTAAACGAACTAAAAGTAGGAAACTGTTATGAGACATCAGCGAATGGAATTCTTAGTTGAAAATTACCGAAGTGCACTTTTAACCCTCAATTTAAAAACGTCATTGTTATTTTTCGATACAGTAAATTATCCCTTATTTGCCCTCGTTTTTATTTCTTAATAAATTAATTCGTTTCATGTTAAAGTAGGTGAAGGTACCAAAGTGTATTGAAGTTGTTGTGACGCATCAGTGATAAAAACTACTCTTTTTATGGTTGGAAATACCCCAGTAACTAATGCATTAAATCCCCAATATATTTCATAAATTTCTTCTTTTCTTCATAAATTAATTTCTCCCTTATTAAACGAGCTGAAGATTCCAAAATGTATTGAAGTTGTTGTGAAGTGTCAGGCAAAAAACTGTTGTAGTTGAAATTTGTCGGTGAGCACTTTCAACCCCAATTTAAAAAGCTCATTTATCGTCGTCGTTGTGAGGCGCCAATGAAGTGAATTTTATGATTGGAAATCACAGGAGTGCACTTTTAACCCCCAATTTATAAATGGCAATTTCTAAGGCATCAGAGAAAAACATTTTATAGTTGAATATTACCAGGGTGCACCCCTAATTTAAAAACGTCGCTTTTATTTCTCAATAATTGCATTCATATTGAACTGGCTGAGGGACCAACATGTATTAAAGTTGCTGAGGGCATCAGTGAACACATTTTGGTAGCTGCAAATTACCGAGGTGTACCTTCAACCCCCAGTTTAAAAATGTTTTTATTCCCTAAGAAATTAATTTGTCCCTTATTAAATGAGCCGAAGGTACCAAAATGTATTAAAGTTGTTGTGGAACATCAGTGAAAAAAAATTAATAGTTGGAAATTACCGGAAATTTCCAACCCCCAATTTAGAAGGAAACTTTTTCCGTCTTTTAGTTGACATATAAGAACGATAAGAGCAATGCAAAGAATTAGTTTTTATAATCTCCCTAACGTACAGTAATGTGACAATAACTTGAACCACATCAGATGAAAAATATCCACATTAACATTATTATCAATTAATTAAAAATAATAAATTCGTAGAAACTGATATAAATAGTTAAGATATGCTGATAGTGCCCTGGCTTTATTAGAATATTCTTTTTAAAGGCAGATCAGTTTCCATTATTTACGAATTAATCTGAGTTAGTCTAATTGAACGCACCTCTAAAACCCGTTCTCTATAGGTATAGAAGTAATTTTCATCTACGGGTCTGCCGGCTTGTCTCTTGCCTTCGAACTTATTTATCTATGGAACTTATTTGTGCTTCGAATTTCGTCTTCTGAGATGGTTGCGACAGACTGCAACCCACCATTTTTGCTTGCCATAAATGAAAGTACACCTAAAGTTATTTAGCTCTAATCCTTATTCGATTATTATTTGATTGTGTGGAATGCGTTTCTGTGTTGTGATTTATAGGTTTCAATTAGCATTGCTTAGATTTTTTGAACATGAATGACTTCAATAACATGCTAGTTTTGTGCTCTAACATTGGAGTCCATCTTGGCATCTTGCCTGTTCAGTGTTCACATCCTTGCTGTTTACTCATCTACTGTGAAGTGTTAGATTCACAGTTTATTTGAGGTCGAATAATTGGAGTTTTGTTAGAATTTATGATTTTTGAAAATAAGTTTCGATGATGATTGTAGATTTTCCATATTGATGTGACCACGTCATGAAGAGTTGCTTTCGTTCTATAGCCAAAATACATAAAACGTTTATCAAAACTATTATTCTGCCTTTAAAATTCTAAATTTCTCTTTAAAAAAAATCAGTTTCGCGTTGCCATTCTGCCGATTGGATTTTAATTGCTTGTTTTTTTTTTTTTTCATAATATAGACTTGCTTTGGATGCGATGGACAATCACATATTTTTATTTCCAGGAACGTTTCTTGTGAACTGGTCAAAGACACAGGATGCTAACAATGGTAATTACCAATAATAATAAAATAATAACAAATCAAGTGAACATGTAACTAATATTAAATTGTTTGAACAGGTTTCCAATAAAACATGATAAATATAGATGGAGACGGTAATCAGAAGGGCTCGAAACGTAGAGAAGCAAAGCCCCTCTTAGCTTCTTTCTCCTTCTTGGATTTGGAAAGAAGCCATGTGTGGAAATGGTAAGAAATCTGTAGATAAAGTTATATTTAAAAAATGGTTTGTGATTTTCCAAGTCATTTATTCCATTTCTTTGACAATAATTACTAGTATAATATTTTACTTCTTCTGAATTGTGATAGTTAATTATTGAGCTTGATAGTCAAGTATTTGCTTGGTGGAAGTTATGGTTCTTAAAATTTTAAAACAATATTTAATATGAATTTAACATTAAATTGTTTCAACAGGATGTCATTTAAATTATTAAATGATCATGAAGACAAAAATAAGAAGGATTCGAATTCTGGAGTTGGACTTGAAGTGTGCAACTTCTAGGAAATGCATGCAGTCCGACTTACACTGGTGAATGTAGGGTTAATTTCACCATCAATGATATTGTTATGTTGTCAATGCTTTGGAATAAAGCTCGGTCATCATACAGGCATTCTCTAGGTAAGAAATTGTTTTATTGTTTATTCTTTTGATGGTAGTTCATTTTTAGAGTGATTTGCCATTTCTGGAATCTATAGTAAGTTATCGTGCATCTATGGGGTTCTCTTTTAACTATCTATTGTCCGCTGTATAAATCGACATCGTGCATCTACGGTTATTTCTATTGCATTTAACATTTATCTATGACATGAATAAAATTGACCCTTTGTATATCTATTATCTATGATTGACATCTCGTCGCCATTTCATAGTCAGCTGTTTTACTTGCGTTTTTGTTTTAATTATATTACATATTTTACTTAATTTAACATCCCATCTTTAGTTGATAGTGTAACTAATATGTTTTTTGCTCATTTCTGCAGATCTAACAAATGGGAGAGAATTAAAGTTGAGGTTGATGGTACTGAAGCAATCGAAATCTACAATGGTGTTGCCTTTGGTGGACTACATTCTTGATTTGCTGTTTTCGTCTTCACCTTGCAACATTATGCAGTTAATTTTCAAATGATGAGTGAGAGCAACTGAAGAGTTATGTGAANTTGTAGATTTCGATTGCTTCAGTACCATCAACCTCAACTTTAATTCTCTCCCATTTGTTAGATCTGCAGAAATGAGCAAAAAACATATTAGTTACACTATCAACTAAAGATGGGATGTTAAATTAAGTAAAATATGTAATATAATTAAAACAAAAACGCAAGTAAAACAGCTGACTATGAAATGGCGACGAGATGTCAATCATAGATAATAGATATACAAAGGGTCAATTTTATTCATGTCATAGATAAATGTTAAATGCAATAGAAATAACCGTAGATGCACGATGTCGATTTATACAGCGGACAATAGATAGTTAAAAGAGAACCCCATAGATGCACGATAACTTACTATAGATTCCAGAAATGGCAAATCACTCTAAAAATGAACTACCATCAAAAGAATAAACAATAAAACAATTTCTTACCTAGAGAATGCCTGTATGATGACCGAGCTTTATTCCAAAGCATTGACAACATAACAATATCATTGATGGTGAAATTAACCCTACATTCACCAGTGTAAGTCGGACTGCATGCATTTCCTAGAAGTTGCACACTTCAAGTCCAACTCCAGAATTCGAATCCTTCTTATTTTTGTCTTCATGATCATTTAATAATTTAAATGACATCCTGTTGAAACAATTTAATGTTAAATTCATATTAAATATTGTTTTAAAATTTTAAGAACCATAACTTCCACCAAGCAAATACTTGACTATCAAGCTCAATAATTAACTATCACAATTCAGAAGAAGTAAAATATTATACTAGTAATTATTGTCAAAGAAATGGAATAAATGACTTGGAAAATCACAAACCATTTTTTAAATATAACTTTATCTACAGATTTCTTACCATTTCCACACATGGCTTCTTTCCAAATCCAAGAAGGAGAAAGAAGCTAAGAGGGGCTTTGCTTCTCTACGTTTCGAGCCCTTCTGATTACCGTCTCCATCTATATTTATCATGTTTTATTGGAAACCTGTTCAAACAATTTAATATTAGTTACATGTTCACTTGATTTGTTATTATTTTATTATTATTGGTAATTACCATTGTTAGCATCCTGTGTCTTTGACCAGTTCACAAGAAACGTTCCTGGAAATAAAAATATGTGATTGTCCATCGCATCCAAAGCAAGTCTATATTATGAAAAAAAAAAAAAAAACAAGCAATTAAAATCCAATCGGCAGAATGGCAACGCGAAACTGATTTTTTTTTAAAGAGAAATTTAGAATTTTAAAGGCAGAATAATAGTTTTGATAAACGTTTTATGTATTTTGGCTATAGAACGAAAGCAACTCTTCATGACGTGGTCACATCAATATGGAAAATCTACAATCATCATCGAAACTTATTTTCAAAAATCATAAATTCTAACAAAACTCCAATTATTCGACCTCAAATAAACTGTGAATCTAACACTTCACAGTAGATGAGTAAACAGCAAGGATGTGAACACTGAACAGGCAAGATGCCAAGATGGACTCCAATGTTAGAGCACAAAACTAGCATGTTATTGAAGTCATTCATGTTCAAAAAATCTAAGCAATGCTAATTGAAACCTATAAATCACAACACAGAAACGCATTCCACACAATCAAATAATAATCGAATAAGGATTAGAGCTAAATAACTTTAGGTGTACTTTCATTTATGGCAAGCAAAAATGGTGGGTTGCAGTCTGTCGCAACCATCTCAGAAGACGAAATTCGAAGCACAAATAAGTTCCATAGATAAATAAGTTCGAAGGCAAGAGACAAGCCGGCAGACCCGTAGATGAAAATTACTTCTATACCTATAGAGAACGGGTTTTAGAGGTGCGTTCAATTAGACTAACTCAGATTAATTCGTAAATAATGGAAACTGATCTGCCTTTAAAAACAATATTCTAATAAAGCCAGGGCACTATCAGCATATCTTAACTATTTATATCAGTTTCTACGAATTTATTATTTTTAATTAATTGATAATAATGTTAATGTGGATATTTTTCATCTGATGTGGTTCAAGTTATTGTCACATTACTGTACGTTAACGTTTTTTAACGGACTATCCTTATAAATGTTTAATAACAATAACAATAATAACTACATTTTAGTAAACATTAAAAACATTTAGTTGTTTTATTAATTTATCATGTAGAATAAGGATATATGTTCTTAAAATGTTATTGATAAAAGTTGTAAAAGAATTAGATGTAAGATTTTTAAAAGTTTTGTTCAAGTTGATAGGTCATGATTAATAAAAACTATGAATATCATTAATAATGACTGAGATTACCTTGATTTTCAATGTAACTCCATTTCAAATGTGATACATACACGCTGTAAATTCTTAGTATGAAGTTCTAAAAGACTTAATTACAAAATAAATTCATCAACTCTAATAGTAGTTAGAAAAAGATATATTCCAACGCCGAGAAATAAAACGATTGGATTTACTTATTATTTGATTGTGTGGAATGCGTTTCTGTGTTGTGATTTATAGGTTTCAATTAGCATTGCTTAGATTTTTTGAACATGAATGACTTCAATAACATGCTAGTTTTGTGCTCTAACATTGGAGTCCATCTTGGCATCTTGCCTGTTCAGTGTTCACATCCTTGCTGTTTACTCATCTACTGTGAAGTGTTAGATTCACAGTTTATTTGAGGTCGAATAATTGGAGTTTTGTTAGAATTTATGATTTTTGAAAATAAGTTTCGATGATGATTGTAGATTTTCCATATTGATGTGACCACGTCATGAAGAGTTGCTTTCGTTCTATAGCCAAAATACATAAAACGTTTATCAAAACTATTATTCTGCCTTTAAAATTCTAAATTTCTCTTTAAAAAAAAATCAGTTTCGCGTTGCCATTCTGCCGATTGGATTTTAATTGCTTGTTTTTTTTTTTTTTTTCATAATATAGACTTGCTTTGGATGCGATGGACAATCACATATTTTTATTTCCAGGAACGTTTCTTGTGAACTGGTCAAAGACACAGGATGCTAACAATGGTAATTACCAATAATAATAAAATAATAACAAATCAAGTGAACATGTAACTAATATTAAATTGTTTGAACAGGTTTCCAATAAAACATGATAAATATAGATGGAGACGGTAATCAGAAGGGCTCGAAACGTAGAGAAGCAAAGCCCCTCTTAGCTTCTTTCTCCTTCTTGGATTTGGAAAGAAGCCATGTGTGGAAATGGTAAGAAATCTGTAGATAAAGTTATATTTAAAAAATGGTTTGTGATTTTCCAAGTCATTTATTCCATTTCTTTGACAATAATTACTAGTATAATATTTTACTTCTTCTGAATTGTGATAGTTAATTATTGAGCTTGATAGTCAAGTATTTGCTTGGTGGAAGTTATGGTTCTTAANGTCTGCAGCAATCATAGATAACAGTCATAGACAAGAATAACAGCATAATGGCGGTTTTGCAGCATTCGATTCATGTGATCATACAATTATATCTAACAGTGCACTTAACTTGTTAAAATTCCCCTGTTAAAATATCGAAATAATATGTTTCAAAAGATTATGAATGCTTATTAATTGAGAAATTTTATAAATATCTGTTTATTGTGGTTTTATTAGTTATTAACATGCACTAGTTTTTACTTCTGCAGGTGTAGTAATATACTCATATATAATAGTCATACATATAAACTGGTGAAATAAACAAAAAATAAACAATACCCATTTCAAAAATAGACACATAATTATTTTGCCCTAAATGAAAGATGACTTACCAGTTACTTTGAAGATCATGTTAACCCCTGGTGCAATTAAGATGTTGCCAACAACAGGTATGGTTTTGCCTATTTCTCATGGAAAGAAAGTACTTTCACATTTTCGCCAGGAACTGCTATATTGTGGAATTGAAGTCAGTTACTACGACCAATACTCCATAATAACAGATTCCACATTTGCTCCTATAAAACAATTTGTATATTCAACAAATCACCAGAGTAGAGAATGTAATAACAAAATGTTAACAAGCAAGGAATGCTTATAACAATACAGATTCTTATAAATAAACAAACAATGAATTTGTATAATTATACCAACACTATCTGCACCACCTATGGCATTATAAAAGTTCGTGAAGCTATTTTTATAAATGTGTAAACAATAATTACTTCAATTTTTAAATAATGCACCTTTGTTAGCTTGTTATACAAATTTCATAGGAAAACAAATTACCGAACTCTTGAAAAGACATAGAACAATGACAAGTACCTTTTAATATGAACAGATGAGTTTCTTTTATTTTATTTACTTACCAACTTCTTTTTACTGTTCTTAATTGTTGTTGTTAGCATCATGTAATCTATGGGATCAGGGTAGTATCTGACCATAGATAAGATCTTTAAGATTTTTATTTTTCGAGCGGTCACTTTGATGTCAGCCATAGATATCAGCTGTCACCTGTCAGAAATTAAATTAAGTGACGTGTAGATGTTAGATGTGGCTAATTATTAAATAAAATAATTACTTTTAAGCTTTACTTATAATAATGTCATCTTTTAAAAGAGATAAGAAAGAGGAAGAAGATGGTATTTAGAAACTGAAGTTAAAACTAGTTGCGTACTAATTAATTTCAATTTTAGGCGGTGGCAACCCATTTCAAAATATTGAAAAAACAGCTGTACTACAAGAGGCAAGAGTATTCAATGAAAATCTTATAAATGCAAGGAAATGCACACAAATCTTAACGAAGATTTTATACCTATTGAACCAGGTATTGAAAATTAAAAGCTATATAATAAAACTCCTAACTTTTCTACTTTTAGGGTGAACAACTTGGTTCCACAGAGGCAACTGAGGTATTTTTTGCAATGACTAAGTTATTTCAGTCTAAAGACGTTATCTTACGAAGAATGGTGTATTTGGGTATTAAAGAATTGAGCTCAGTTGCTAATGATGTAATTATTGTAACATCGAGCTTAACAAAAGACATGACAGGAAAGGAGGATTTATACAGGGCTGCAGCTATCAGAGCGCTCTGTAGCATTACAGATGCTACTATGCTTCAAGCTATTGAAAGATACATGAAGCAGGCAATTGTTGATAAGAACCCTGCTGTAAGTTCTGCAGCTCTGGTAAGCTCTTTGCATATGACTAAAATTGCTTATGATGTTATTAAAAGATGGGTAAATGAAGCACAAGAAGCTGTTAACAGTGATAAGTAAGTAACTCATATTTCTTTAACTGTTGTATGATAATTACATAATTTCAGTGTAATGGTTCAATATCATGCCTTGGGTGTATTATATCATATAAGAAAATCTGATAGATTGGCAGTAACTAAACTAGTAGCCAAATTAACAAGGATGTCACTAAAATCACCTTATGCAGTTTGTTTGCTTGTAAGTTGTGCTAGAAATAGAAACCATCTTTCTTTCACTATTTATGGAATTACTTTTATTATGTCTAGATTCGAATTGCATGTAAACTTCTTGAAGAAGAGGATACAGCAAATGATTCATCATTGTTTGATTTCATTGAATCATGTCTTCGTCACAAATCTGAAATGGTAACATATGAAGCAGCACATGCCATTGTAAACCTCCGAAAAACAACAAGTCATGAGCTTGTACCTGCAATTAGCGTTCTGCAGCTGTTCTGTAGTTCTCCTAAACCTGCTTTAAGATTTGCTGCCGTTAGAACACTGAATCAGGTTGCTATCAGTCATCCTGCCGCTGTTACTGCATGCAATCTCGACTTAGAAAATCTGATAACTGATTCAAATAGATCAATTGCTACACTAGCCATCACTACATTACTTAAAACTGGAGCTGAATCTTCAGTAGACCGATTAATGAAACAAATCGCTACTTTTGTATCGGAAATTAGCGATGAATTTAAAGTGGTTGTTGTTCAAGCTATAAGAGCTTTAGCATTAAAATTTCCACGAAAACATAGTGTTCTTATGAACTTCCTCTCTGCAATGTTAAGAGATGAAGGTGGATTAGAATACAAGGCATCCATTGCAGACACAATTATTACTATGATTGAGGATAATCCAGAAGCCAAAGAAGCTGGACTTGCTCATTTATGTGAATTTATTGAAGACTGTGAACACACATCTTTAGCTGTTAAGATCTTGCATTTGCTTGGGAAAGAGGGCCCCAGAACTAAACAGCCTTCCAGGTAAATATAAACTTCTTCACTGTCTGCTTCTTATGACACCTCATGTAAATTTTAACAATTATGTCTCTTTTAAGATACATTCGGTTCATATATAATCGTGTAATTTTGGAAAATCCGACAGTTAGAGCTGCAGCAGTATCTGCTATGTCCCAATTTGGGGCTTTATGCCCAGATCTATTAGAAAATATCTTGGTACTTTTGGCTCGATGCCAAATGGATACAGATGACGAAGTACGAGATAGAGCCACCTATTACAGTCATATTTTGAAACAAAAAGATCAAGGATTGTATGAAAGTTACATATTACAACCCCTGCAGGTGATATGTTTTTCTCTAAATAATTTGAACATTTTCTGTTAAATTGAATTATTGCTGCGACAGAAAAAAAGTGGTCTAATTAACTTTTAATGTAGCACATTTTGTTCTTTTATCTATTTAGAATTTAAATTGGGTTAAATTGATAATTTGCATATAGTTTTTAAAGAAAACTATCAATACTAAAAAGTGGGAGTATTTATGTCTTCGTACCTTTACTCCAACGTAATTTTTATTATTTCAGATTTCTATTCCTTGCTTAGAAAGATCGCTCAGAGAGTACCTCGAAGCACCTTCTGACACCCCGTTTGATATAAAATCGGTGCCCTTAGCTACAGTACCAACTGAAGAAGAAAAACAGGCAACCGTTCAAAAAACCGAAGGTATCCTTACCATTGGGCCGTCCAAACCCATACCAGTTTCTCGAGAAGAAAATTATACGGAACGCCTCAGCACTCTCCCTGGTATTCAAACCCTTGGACCTCTTTTCAAAAGCTCTGAGATCATCGAGCTCACTGAGTCAGAAACGGAATACGTGGTACGATGTGTTAAACATTGCTACACGAAACATATGGTCCTACAATTCGATTGTATCAACACCTTAAACGATGTTCTGTTAGAGAACGTAAGAATTCAGTTGGATCCTAGTGAAGGATATATTATTTTATCAGAAATTCCTTGTTCCAAACTGCCATATAACGAACTGGCATCTTCCTATGTTATATTACAAATGCCTGAGGATTTGCCGAGCTGTTTTGGGACTTTTGGGGCTGTTCTCAAGTTTATTGTAAAAGATTGCGATCCCACTACAGGACTCCCAGAAACAGACAATGGTAAGTATCATAAATTAAATTGTAAGGTATATAATTTTTAATCAATATGAATTTGAAACTGTAATTCATAATTACCCTTTTTTATCCATTATTAAGGTTACGATGATGAATACATTTTGGAAAACTTAGAAATAACTTTGGGAGATCACATACAACGTTTACACAAAATTAATTGGGCTGCTGCTTGGGAAGCAGCTGCTGCTAGGGGTTACATTGAGATGGAAGATACTTATTCATTAAGTTCCACTAATACTCTAGAAGAAGCTGTTAAAAATATTGTTCAGTTTCTGGGTCTTCAACCTCAAGAAAGGACTGACATCGTCCTTGAAGGCAAGACAACCCACACGTTATTATTGGCTGGAGTTTTTAGGGGTGGCATTGAAGTACTTGTGCGAACAAAACTTGCCTTAGCAGATGGAATCACCATGCAATTGACCGTACGTTCACCAGATTCCGATATTGCAGAATTAATTATTTCAGCCGTAGGTTAAATGTAATACAATTATGTGCTTTTTTCTCATATAAGTATTAAAATAATACATTGAAAAATATAATGTTCATTAAACACAAATATGTAAGAATTTATATTAAATTATACCCATTTGTTTACACTTTTATTTTACAATTTGGTATTGATATTTGCCTCTCTCCAATTCATTGCATGAATATGAAATTTTAAAGGCTTATTTGTAAATATCAAATATAAAGGTTTTTTAACTTTAATTTGGTAAGCAACATAAAAAAAATTGGTTACTCGGTGTATAAAAATGAATATTGAAAATATATATAACTTTTATAAGTGGTTATGACACAAACTGGTCATTACTTTGTGAATTTGAAAATTCTGAGTTAAACGATGGAATAAGTTTTAGCCTATTTTTGGCACAATTTTTCAATTTATTTTTTGTTTTACCTAAATTTTTAATTTTAATGTTTTTCCTCACTTTGTACTTATACATAAGCTTTTATACTACAAACTGTTGATTATCTTGTGATTTTGAAATTTCTTTAGCTAGTTTTAGTCTATTTTTCAATACTACAATTTCTAATTTTACTTTTTGTTTTGCTTCTATGATTGACTTTAATGTTTTCTTTTTTTTTTCTTCAACTACAAAATTAAACAATCAAAACAAATGATTTAAATTGTAATTACTTACAGTTGGTGTTATGTTCCCAGGGTCCTAATGTCAATTGTTTTGTATTTGTCAATAAATGATGCATGAGTTGCGTTGGATCTTGAAAAACTATTTCATCATAACTTTCTGAAACCAATCCCTTACTTTGTTCAAGAGTCATGTCATTACCACTTCCAGTATGAAATAATTTCAAAATATGATACATTGTCACCTAAGAGACAGAAGAAATAATTAAAACAAGAAAAATGTGGCAAAATTAACTTACTGGTCGTTCATTTGGATCATGGAAATGAATTTTAATGACAATTTCAAATTCTCCCCAACCTGTTTCACTTATTTCATAAGGTGGCTTAACAACTATTCGATTTTGATTTGCATAACTTTCATGTAACTTAAACTGAACTTTTTTCACATAGGCAGACATGTCTTCATTAAAATATGGTTTAACATAAACAGTCCACTGATGTGTATGACCATCTTCCTCTCTTTTCTTTCCAAAGTACCTTGCTATGTTTCCATACACAATAGGTTTTACTATACACACACCCTGAAAGCATCATTGTATGCGCAAACAAAAGAACCAAGAAGTTTTATTACCTTCATTCGTCCTCCAGAATCGGGGCCAAAATCTGTTGGTAAACTCATTTCTCTTGAATGAATTAATTAGTTTAGGTTAGGGTAGATTGTGAACTGTAAACACAAACTAAAATGATAACTGTAGTTCATTAACACGCTTGCGTTTAAATATATTGCAGAACAAACACTCTCTTTGGTGTTTACATTTCTGATTTGAATAAATATTAAACACAATTATTCATTAGTTCCATTAGCTCTCACCACTACTAAATTTACGTTATCTTGAAACTCTAATTCATGAATTTCTAATAAAATCAAATATATCTCTCCTTGAACGTATTTTTTATATAATAATAAGGCGATTAAATCATTAAATCATGCAAATTATGAAATATGTATCAAATGTACTAAAACTAAACAAACAACTGCCATTTTGTCTGCAGCAATCATAGATAACAGTCATAGACAAGAATAACAGCATAATGGCGGTTTTGCAGCATTCGATTCATGTGATCATACAATTATATCTATGCACATCACATAGTGTATCTATTATCGATGGTCATAATAGCAGCTTTGTGATCTGTCAACTTTATAGGTTATGATAAGTTGAATTGTACTAAATCTTATCGTAGTCCTAAATTAATAATAAATAATTGTTGTAAAATCATGAGCTTAACAGGCTTACTACGAAAACGATGTTTTCTGCAAAAACTACTTCCGCTGAATAGTTCCATTTCAAGAACCAAAGTGACTACACGTTCTGGAGGAATTTTACCAGAGCCCCATAGGACTTCCTTTGGGATTATAGGTATTATATTGACTGTTATTCCCGGATTATTAATAGGAGCTCAAATTAGTAAAACTATAGCAAATTTCCTTGAAGAGAATGATTTATTTGTGCCATCTGATGATGACGACGATGATGATTAAAATGGGTTATTAAAATGTATTCCATGCTTATTTATTAAAGGTAGAGTAGTTAAGATGTTGATATGTGCGTAGAGAATATATTATAACAATTGTGTCTATAGCTGATTGCTAGATTTGCCTTTGTAGTACTCGCTCTATGGCTCTGATTATGTACATTTTCTTTCAAATCTGCCATTTGTGTATCGAAATATAGATATATATTATAGATATTGTGATCTTTGATTATTATAAGTGTTGGTCCTAATAAAATAGTAATAGCATACTCGTATTTTTTTTATGAAACAATGCTTTACTATGTAGCAGAATGCATTATTCACATCTCATTTTAATTACACTATATTTACTTATTTAATTTAAGTAATTTGCATGTATCTATATTTATTTTTCATTATTAGAAGATCTCTAATACTTTCTCAAAGTTGTTAGAAACAGCCGTTATTTTTAGTGACTTTTATTCAATATTTTATACATAAATTATGCTTTATATTTAATGCAATAAAAACTTATGAGTTAAAATTGGTAAAACAGGGGAATCTTTGAATTTGCATTAATTATTGTAGAAACTTTTGAAGTCACGAAGTTTTAATAATATCTAAACTAATTGAAATATTGGCACGTTTTCATGTAATATATGTTTGAATCAAACAGATTCGTTTTCGCCACAATAATAAAAAGATTTTCAGTCAGTGAAATAATAAAAAGAACAGTAATTAAACAAAAATTATTTACAATGTTGAGTAATTTATTCAACTAATTATACGTCTATCCACTAAAAATAAGTACTTTTCGCCATCGGTTAAAGAACATCAAATTAAGACATATAATTGGTTGAATAATGTGGATTAATTTTCTGCATAAACGCAACAACATAAAAATTTGATTAACAAAACAGTCTGCTACAAAAATGCAATTAATTTTTTATGATTGGCTGTATCTGGCTCTGATTTGTCTACAAAATGCAGTGGATATGCAATAAAATAAATATTTGATAAAAAATCCTTAGAATTAAAAAAAATTAAGTAGAAAAATATTTCCTTATGACTAGTTAATTTAATGAATAATTTTGACTAAAAAGAATGAATTAAGAAGTATTAAGAAAAAAGACAGATTAAAAAGAACCGCGATGGCAAATATTTTCTGGATTGCATCCTAAAGCTACGATTAATCTTTTTAAAGCAGAATAATTTTTTACTTGTGTCTCTGCTTGTGTACAATTTCTTTCTTCTTAACATCAGCATTTCGCAAAACTTCTGCATAGGACAAATCCAACTTTTTCAGCTTATGTAAATCCTGTGAAGCTGCGCTAGGCTTAAACCCAAATCCATTTTCGTATGTGACTTCTTTAGCTCTACTTCTTTGTGGTGTCGGTGAATTTACGCTTCTTGAATAGAAATGTAAAGTTGTTCCATTCCATACGCTACCGGTATCTGTTGGATTACCTCTAACATCTCTTCTTCGGCGACTTGAAGATCTATTGCTGTAAGTAATCTTGGGACTTCCTAAGATGGGAGTTGCAGGAGAATCTGATCGTTCTGAAGTAAATTGTTTCTTCCGTTTCGAAGAAGATCTTTTGCGAATATTAACGCCCACACTCAAATATTCCAGGGGTTGGCGCATATAAGGCGTGAGGACCCGCTCTTGGGGTTTGTTTTCTTTATTTTCACTAGTTTGAGCAGTTTCAGGGGAACTTTTTTCGATGACTTCTTCTCCAACAGTTACATCAATTTGACTGGTTGAAAATTCAGACATTGTAGATGAGAGGACACTTTGGGTATCGTCGGTTATGTTGTCGGCAAAATCTGGTAGATTTTCGGTAGCAGGAGTTGCAGGTGGTACTTCGGGAATTACTTTATGTGCAGGCGTATGGTCATCGAGGAGGGGTAGCTGTTCACCTTCGTCTTTGTTTTCTGCCGCTTTCTTTAAGACGGTGAATATCTCTTTAAATAGTTCGCGATATTCTGGTCTATTTCTAAACCTTGAGTCAATTGGGCTAGCATCGTCGTAAATGCTAAATTTACAGTCATCTCCATCAGCGATCGTGCACAAGAAAGAGCCCACTCTCCCTTCGGTTTGGGTAGCTTTGTTACTAGTTTCTTCAAGAAACCCAGAAGAATTTGTTTCAGCTTCCGAAAAGTCTGTTGGGGTGCGTGAGAAGGTTTTCTCATCTTTTTTATTACGTTTAATACTGTCTCCATTTCCACTTTCTTCGTCCGTATCTTTGGGGATGTTACTGAAATCTCCAGACATTTGCATTTCTTCGTGAAGCGATAACGAGTTTGTGGATTTTTGACTGCGAGTGCTCTGGCCTCGTTGGACTTCCAGAAGAGCTTCATATTTTTCTACAAGTTCCCTATACAAATTTGGGCCTCCTTGGCGAAGTGGAGAAGATGTTTTTTCAGCAGTCTCCTAAAACAGAAAATAGTTTTATGTAACTTTGTAAATTAGGGCCAAAAATTGAACACCCTCCAATTAGAATTGGACAGCTTAAAATTTAAAACTAAATAGTGTTAGAAATAAATAGCTAATAATAAGAAAGTTAATTCATGCCGAACAGAAATATGACAACCCCTCTTGCAAAAGAAAATAAAAGCTGAAAAAAAAATGCTGAAAGACGATGAATTCATTAAACATTTTAGAATGTAAACTAAATCGATAATAATTTGAACTATGAGAAACTTTTTTGTAATTGCATATTTTGGGAAATTGTGAAACTGTGCTGGTAAGTATGAAACAAAAATACACACATGGTTTTATAATAAAAAATATTAAATAAACGTTCAGAATTCTACGGTGCGTGTGCAGTAAAACGAGTGGCTTGTTTACGTAAGTGTTTATTTATTATTATAACCAGTAACAAAATATTACATAAAAATAAAATATATTTCACAATGTATAAAAGTAGCAAAATGGCATTTTCTCTCGTAATAAATCAGAAATTAACAATGCAATTATAACAAAAATTACAGTACTATAATTAATATTAATAATAATAAATGTGATGTGATTTATTTAAAAACGGCATGGTAATTTAGCGAGTACCTAGTTGATTAAAAAAATTATTAACTCTAAAAATTATTGACTATTCAGTTCTAATTTAAATAGATACTAAATTACCATGAAATAATCACAATTTAATAAAGCCATGTAATTTTGTCCTTATTTAATATGTATATGCAATATCCTACTTTCAAAATTAAAAGAATTTGTAATGTATAAAGATTAAATAAACATCCCGCACATTAGTTTTAGCCCGCAAAAGAAGTGCCTACAAGATCTTTTAATAAAAAGTTATTTTTTGACGAAAAATGCGTAATAGAATAATAATTACAAATTAAATTATTAATTTTCAAATTATATGGAATTTAGTTGTTGTTACAGCAATGTAAAAAACAATTATTTAATGTGTCGTTTTGGTTTGTTTTTAACGTAGATATAGTCGTATTCTGTTTTCGGGGATTCCCTGCGCGCTAAACTACCTTTAGTTTTCATAATTTAAAAAAAAACATGAAAGAACAAAATTGCAGGCTTTAAAGTTTTCTACGAAGAACAAATTAAGTCAGCACAACACAAAGAATTCACTTTTGTACTAAAGTTAATACTGTTTATACTATTATTATTAATAATGGAGGAGTCAACAGGCTTTCAGTTATCTATATTGTTTGTACTACATTTACGTTATCTATTTTACCATCAGGAAAGACATAACAGTAAGTATTGGAGGATAAAATTGCAAATATATCTTTAACAATTCGTTAAACTGGTGATGAATTATTTTTTGTCAATGGGCATTCTTCAGTTAATTAATTTTTTATTAATTATTAATGACGATGACATAACATATGTATATGGTATGTATTAAAGCTGATAGAAGAAAGTACATTATGGATTAGAACGGTATTTTAGTAATTTACATACCTCAAACTTGGTGCATTTTATGTTTGAGTATACAGTGAATAAGGATAAAGGGATATCTCCAGGGTTTACAAAGAAAAGGCATTATGCACCGTTCTTTAACGTACAGAAGCAAGTCTATAAAAATTGCGAGCAATGTTGGACCGGCATACATCCATAACACGGACATTTCTCTGCACAGTATGTCCCTTAACTCAGGTCGTTTAGCCTGAGAAATAAATACAGCAGCTAAAAGTTGGCATGCAATAGCGTTTACACGTTTGATAGCAAAAACCCGAAAAATCTTTCAATTTCGACTCCAAAAATAAGTTTATTCGAAAAAAGTACCCAAATAATAGCAGTTTCGTTTCCAAAATGTTACTCCTTTAGGACTCTAATAGTCCAGTCAAATGAGGAAACTGACTGAAGAGTACTTTAAAATGGAGAAAATTATTAAAAAAAGGGTCATTTTATTGGAAATTTCTTGAGTAACACGAATATGTAAATGAAAATTATTTGCCCGGCATAGGGGGGCAGAAAATCTGCAAAAACAATTGCAAATTCGACAAGACTGTCAGTTAATTAGTTAATCGGATGTTGATAGATACAAAAAAAAAATGTAAGATGCGAATTTGTTCCGTTTAGGCTGCTGCAAATTTTGATGCAAAAAGTAACGCATTTGGACAATTTTTAACGAAGTTATAGCGGTTTAAAAAAACAATGAAATAATGGATAGATTTTTTT